CCTGTTACAAAAATCAATGCCGTGTACACGACCACTGATAGGAGACGCGGAAGGTATTAAACTGATAAAAATAGTACTAAACACACCACTCCTATCTGGTGTCGCATTAGCTTGACCGCGCAGTGCCCCAAATTTGCAGTAAGAGGACCCGACCAAGCCTCTTCTTCCATCTCCCTGTTACAAAAATCAATGCCGTGTACGCGTCCACTGATAGGAGACGCGGAAGGTATTAAACTGATAAAAATAGTACTAAACACACCACTCCTATCTGGTGTCACATTAGCTTGACCGCGCAGTTCCCCAAATTTGCAGAAAGAGGACCGACCAAGCCTCTTCTTCCATCTCCCTGTTACAAAAATCAATGCCGTGTACACGTCCACTGATCGGAGACGCGGAAGGTATTAAACTGATAAAAAATAGTACTAAACACACCACTACTATCTGGTGTCACATTAGCTTTACCCAGCAGTGCCCCAAATTTAATGTGATTCGTGAGTATGTAAACGGTTGTCCATACACAAGTTGCAGCTTTGAGGGCCCACACCACCGCCATGCACTCCTTTTCAATGGCAGTGAATATACTTCGCTGTGCAAAAGTTTACGGCTTAGATAAAAATCAATGCCGTGTACACGTCCACTGATAGGAGACGCGGAAGGTATTAAACTGATCAGAATAATACTAAACACACCACTCCTTTTTTTTGGTGAGGCTTTACAGGACAGAGTGCTTCTCCACGGGACATGTTAACTCACGGGCAGCTGGCTCATCAAGGAACCACAGCAGCTTCCATGTACAGGTAAGACACGTGCAGCCGGTAAGGGTTCAGGCTCTTCTTCCTGGAGGATACGCTGCAAGCCTGTTGAACGAGGTGACCTTGCTCGGGTCCCAGGTGTACGGTTCCTAAAATGGCTGCCATATACACGTCCACTGATAGGAGACGCGAAGGTATTAAACTGATCAGAACAATACTAAACACACCACAAATAAGGTTTCTCTCCTGTATGGCTCCTCAAATGATGCTTAAGATTAGAAGCGGCTGAAAAGCATTTCTCACACTCCTAACAAAAATATATTTTTTAACATTCTCTCCACTTTGAACGAAATGACGTTTGGGAAGAGATTAACATAATTAAACACAGGCAGTAAAAATACAGTTTTTAGCCATACCCTGTAACTTTAAAACTACACATCCCATCTTCATAATTACATATTTGGAATCAGCACACTTAAAACATAAACATAACCAAAAATCAGCCAAATCCATCCAGGTGTTAAAAAGTTAGCTGGAGGTCCCTTTATGACCGACTGCAAGCACATTTTCCTGCCCAAAACAGTTCCATAGATTTGGGCTGTGAGGTCGGTCTATTTCAGGCTGAAAAAAAGACTAAGTCCCATCGCCGAATGGGACTTAGTCTCTGCAGTTGAAATAATTTCCCATTTACTGAACCAAGTGGGAAATAGCAAGGCAGGCACAAAGGGTTTGCACCAGGTCTGGGGACACAGGGGACACCGTCTTAAAGGGGCCGTGTCCCCAACAAGTCTGGGGACACGGCCTTAAAGGGGCAGTGTCCCAATCTTCCTGATGTCCCAAAAAGGTGTTTAAAGGGCCAGCACCAGTCACATAAAGAGTCCATAAGCCCCAATATGCCCACCGACAGTCTTAAAGGGCCATACACACCAAATAAAAGTGCATACATTTTCACAATCTCCCAGGGCCATAGTCATGCGGGAGGAGGCTGGCAAATAGGCTTCTCCACAACCCAGGGAAGCAGGGCAATTTGCCATTTAAAGGGCCCGTTACAAATAGCAGTTTGTAACAAGGTGTCAACCCATATCTGCCAAGTGACCCGATGTAGGGGGACCAGTCCCTATTCTGCTCTGTGTCAGTGTGTACCAGGGAACCTTAGGACAGGTGTCAATCCATATCTGCCAAGTGACCCGATGTAGGGGGAACAGTCCCTATTCTGCTCTGTGTCAGTGTGTATCAGGGATCCTTAGGACAGGTGTCAATCCATATCTGCCAAGTGACCCTATGTAGGGGACCAGTCTCTATTCTGCTCTGTGTCCGTGTGCATCAGGGGCTCTGAGGACAAGTGTCAATCCATATGTCAAGGTGTCAATATGTCATATGTCAGGTGTCAATCCATATTGATTGTGATTTAGGAATGTTAGGTGATTTCTGCCCTTTATGGATTAAGACCAGACTCTGCATCAACTGTGTAATTTTCCATGGGAGTTTTGCCATGGATCCCCCTCCCGCATGCCACAGTCCAGGTGTTAGTCCCCTTGAAACAACTTTTCCATCCCTATTGTGGCCAGAAAGAGTCCCTGTGTGTTTTAAAATTCGCCTCCCCATTGAAGTCAATGGCGTTTCGGGCGGTTCGCCAGTTCGCGAACATTTGCGGCAGTTCGCGTTCGCCATTCGCGAACCGAAAATTTCGGGTTCGCGACATCACTAGTTACCACCAGTCAACTCCAATGCAAGACAGAGAGACAGGGGAGAACAATGAAATTCTGTTAAACTCTAACTAGTGAGAATGCTTAGAATGTAAAATGCATTCAAATCGCAAAAAATATGTTTTTCTCTGCAGAATTCAGTTCTCTGAGAAGCAAGACCTATATGAGATATAATAAAGAGTTGTATTAAATGTCCTTCACATAAAAAGATTGCATTCAGTTAAGACATGCATAAGAACCTTGTCCCAAGGAGATGCAGTGAATTTCACTTTTGATAAATCACTGTGGGCAGTGCTCCTGGGATATCTTTCTTAGTGCTTACTGGCCTTATTCCCAGAGCAATGCTCAGTGAATCCGTAGGCTGCAGGTGATGCCTCTAAAGGAAAACAGTATGTATTACAGAATTATGGATTTTTTTTACTGCAGGGCCACATTAAAATTATAACTGACCTGCAGAACAGATCTTTAGTTAGCACTCCTTAGCAACAGAACAGCAAATGATACACAGAGGAGATGCAGTGATGCAAGATTTGGTAAAAGAGCATATAACTAAAAGCAAATAATTCTACTGTTTGACATCTTTGCAGGCCCTGCTTTGCCACTTATAATGCACTAGCCTGCAAATCTACAAGTAGATACCATCACCAAGCCAATAATCCGTTTGGAATGGATCACAGACAATAAAGGGATTTAATATTTAGGGATATAAATCTTGGACTTCCCAAACTTAGTGCAGAGAAAGAAACTGCAAATGCTTCCTATATTTTAATACTTAATTATTATACCTTTAGCTCAAGCCTCATAAGCCTTCCAATTATGTGGGCCAGTCCTGATTTAAGGCCCTGTCCTACCATCTTGGGTTTGCTCCAAAAGCGGGACAAGAGGAAACTGCCGTCAAAAAGCATTGCATGAGCATATATAATTAGACAAACTTGCTCTATGCTGAGGGCACTAGTACCATGCAGAGAGCACTAAAACAGTTCTTCTAGAAAATATTACTTTTACATATGGCATGGATGGATGGATAAATTATATATATGGATAGACAAAAAGACAGATGATAGGTAGACAGACAGACAAATAGATTTTATGTTCATAATTTAATTATGATCTTTTTTTGTGTTCCCTCTATGTTTTAGGATTACATGCTGGTTTTTGCACACTACCCCGCCACCCTTGCTCAAAGGAGAAGTCTGAGGATACTAGTTATAAAGTGCAAAGAGAGGAATGGGCCAAAGAAGACTTTATGGATGCCAAAGAACATAGCATTTCTACTGAACCACTGGAGTCTTCTAGCCGTCTCTGGCAAGCTGATTCAATGGAATCCTTGGTTATGGACTTTGGTCCATCACTTATGAGCGAGATCATGAACAAAATTAGTTTTTCTGATAGTCCTACAGGAATTCTAAATGAATCTGGGCCAATTGAACAAGAAATATTGCCAACAAATCTCTACTCATCCATTTCGAGCAACACAATGGACAATAGCAATTGGGATCCTGACCAGTCACAGACAGCTGTCAAAGAACCAAAAGGGTTTGCAAGTTGGGAGCAAGTCAATACAAATCTGGAAATGGAAGTGGAGGACTATCAAATAATTAAATCAGAACAGGGCTACACTGGAGTCACTGAGGATTTGTGGGACATGGATGATGGATCTGAGGTAGAGATGTAATTAATCAAGGAAATCAAGAAGTTATAAAAGGTTGTTTTTTTCCCTCACTTTGCATAGGAGAGAAAACTGAAGAAATTGGGTATTTTCTATATGTGGACTATATTTTTACATAAACATTAAATTTACTTTATATAAAATTGTACTGCGTGAAAAAATGACAAAATATAAATTTATAAATGCTTTAGTATTACTCTGACAGATTGCACCATAATATACTACACTGCTGGTTTTCTTAAAGGGAAATTGTCACTTCTCTGGAAATTACACCACTGAATAAAACACCCAAAAAAAAACTATAACACATGTTAACCTTTCATGTGATGCTACATTTTCTTTTCAATTAATGTTAAAGAGTTAGCAGATGACATCACAAACCAGTTCAGTCCAGACCCAACTAACACACAAAATGCAAATGAGGAGACATTCTTTAATTTCTCCAATTCTCTGTATGCTTTATCTATGCCATGGGAGGGGGGGAGGAGTGGGGCAGAAGGTAGATCCCCAAATGTTTTCGAACTACAACTTCCTTGATGCTTTGCATGCCCTTAGAATGACAAAGCATCATGGAAGCTGTAGTTTTAAAGCATTTGGGAATCTACCTTTTGGCCATCCCTGGTTTTTGCTAATTGCCAGGTGCATAAGACCAAGTTTATAACACTAATAGACAGAGAGCTACAACTGAGGATAAAGTTGTAAGATAAAGAGGTGCAGATTAATGCATTTTATTTTTCAGATCTTCCAAATACATTTTTGTTAAATATAGGGAGATAAGTGAACATCCTGCGGCCTGACAACTCCTTTTTAATATTGCAAGATTAAACTAATATTCATCGTGTATCAAGAGAGGGAGCTACTGTTTATCTGAACAAAGTTAGTAGCACACTGTAATCTTTTAGTTTAAACTGTAAGATCACAGGGGTCCAATGGTTATATTGGTGCAAGGCAATGTTCTAGTATCTAGTTCATGCTGTAAAAGGATTTGAAGTGGCTAGATCCCATTAAGTATGCTACTAAGTTATTTGTTCTACTTTAACAGAGCACTAAATATTAGCTTTACCCCATGCCAGCTTCATCAGAATGACTGGGATCACTAAATGTCATATGCCAAAATGAAAAGTCATTCCTATATACCAGTAGCAGCTGTATACAGACCCGCTACCTTTAAATGACTGGGATATTCCATTTTCATGTAAGATTTTTAAAGGATAGTTTCTTATGAAATAATTATTCTATCACTGATCATTATGGGAATTCAAATCCCCCACTAGTCAATTTATATCACTAAAGACTATTTAATGTATATCTAAAGTATCAAACTCTATGAGTTATATCTATGCATATCTTAACCTTTTAATAATATCTTTTGCACACATCCACCAAACCATCTCCATTTGCAAAAGAAATCTCCTTTCTTTGCCTATTTGGGTATATAGTATTTTATGATTCAAGACCACACATTTCAAAGGATGGTTTGTTTTCTAGAATCTATCATCGTCAACATTCCATTTCACCTCCAAGCCCAAACAAACCCTTAATTTCGACTATGACCGAATCTCTTGCAAAAGAGCTGGAACTAAGCTATTTGATTCCCAAAGAATAACCCAGCACTAGCAGCCCAGATAGATATCTAGTATCTTATTAATATCATACTTTAAACATAGACAATAAAAGTGCAGTACAAAAGTACTTTCCTCATACATTGCTACCAATCAAGGCACAATGACAAATGTGAGATACAGCATTTAGAAATAAGTAAATTATGCATAAGATCACATTTCTTGAACTATGCACATTGCTACCATTCATTGTTATTAGGAGTTTTTGCAAGCAAAAATTAAACACTATTATTTAAAGGCATTTTTTTCATCTGGTGGTTGAATTGTTTTCTCTATATCTTTTTATCCGTAAGAAAAAGTAGACAATACAACCAAATGCAATGACATGTAGAGCACCCTAAAACATATGCAAAAAGACTGATTGGAGAACTATGTTCCAGCCGATGACAATGAACCAACTTGCGCATGCAGAATGGTGTTATGCAGAAAGGGAATATGATTTGTTTAGGTAGGTAGAGATATGAATCTGGTAAGCTAAGCACAGAATCAGGATAGCAAAGTCCACTAGCTGTGCCTCCTCCTTCTCACTAATTTAAGTGATGCCTTCATGGAAGCAATGGTACGTTTCTCAAGATTACAGTGAAAGGTAAAGTAAGTTAAAAGAATACAAAACACATTTCGCAGTGTGAATGAGTATAACCCCCCAGATATTTGGACTCATTTTCAGGGTCCAGGATGAATGTGTATATATCAAGTGGAAATATGCAGATTTTTCTCAATACAGAGGTGACTGAGCATTACAGAACAATCATGACAAAGTAAAACATTCGTAGGGGTATTAGGCAGGATGAACAAGGGTTCCAAGATGAAAGATGGTTGTTTCTAAATCCCAGAATGCAGAACCTTTAGAAAGATGTGTAGGACCTTGAAGTGAATGACCGAATTATCAAGGTTAATTAGTAGTTTCCCAGGCAAGTACATCGCTATGGTCGGGCTGGGAAGGGCTATAGCACTGGTCGGGGTGGGAAGGGCTATAGTCCCAATTCTAGCTCTCGTGAGCCACATCTACAATTCCTTGAACATGTATTCAGACCATTGACAAATTCTCACATATTACCGAAAAAACTTTAAATGAGCTAAAGAGGTCATTGGATGAGACTGAAGTAAATATGTACCAGTCAATAATTTCAGTTTCAAACATTTCAACATAAAACTGGTCTGTATTTGTCAACAAACAAGCTATTACTTAAATGGAGCCACATCTGGAATTTGCTAAAAATCGTCCTCTTCAACCAATCGTTCCTGTAAATTTTCTTGTAATTGTCCTATTTATAGCTAAATCCCCCCTCTCATAATATTGTAAAGCGCTACAGAGTCTGTTGGCGCTATATAAATGGCAATAATAATAATAATAATAGTAATATTAAGACTAACTCTAAATTGTGAAAAGGGTTCATGCTCAGATGAGACTGTTATGGGCAAATGCAAATATTACAAGTTTTAGAATGAAATGTTGTATTTCTTAAACTGTGTACTTTGTCTTTAAGAAATATTGCAAACTGACAAGGTGTTAGAAATGGAACATATTGTTTTTCATAACTGTTTCTTTAAGCAATAACCTCTTACCTACCTACAGTGCATAATATGTTTGCATCATTTTGTCCCAGACGAATTACAATAACAATAATGCATAAACAAGCTTCAAGGCAATGCTACGACTCTTTCAGTACGTAATATACTGTGGTAACCTTAGTAGATAAGGATGTTCAGACTTTTAGATGCCATCTTTTAAAGGACCACTATGGGCACCCAGACCACTTCAGCTTAATGAAGTGGTCTGGGTGCCAGGTCCAGCTAGGTTTAACCGTTTTTTTTAATAAACATAGCAGTTTCAGAGAAACTTTACATTAGGGTTAATCCAGCCTCTAGTGGCTGTCTCATTGACAGCCGCTAGAGGGCTTCAGCGCTTCTCACTGTGATTTTCACAGTGAGAAGATGCCAGCGTCCATAGGAAAGCATTGAGAATGTGCTGCTCTTGACGCGCGTGCGCATTCAGCCGGTGATGAAAGAAGAGGGAGGAGAGGAGGAGGAGAGCTCCCCGTCCGGCGCTGGAGAAAGAGGTAAGTTTAACCCCTTCCTCTCCATCCAGCCCGGCGGGAGGGGGTCCCTGAGGGTGGGGGCACCCTCAGGGCACTATAGTGCCAGGAAAACAAGTATTTTTCCTTGAACTATAGTGGTCCTTTAACTAAGTCAGGAAAAGTTCCATGACGTATGCACCCTTTAGTTATGGCCTTGTATGTTTGCCAAATTAAGGGAGGTCCTAAAATGAATAAAGTAAAAGAAGTGTTACTTTTTCATATATGAACTACGGTAACCCTAAAATGAAGACACCTAAGGTATAAATAACAATAATAATAATAAATGACAGAGAGGCTGACATGATGACATGTTCAGAAGGGTATGCTAACCTATTAATGATATTTGCAAGCATTTAGTTTAATCTTATAAACTCTGCTATAATGGATTTTATATGTCTATATTTATATTTTTATATAATAAATATCTAAAAGACAAAACTATTGCTTCCAAGACAATCCTTATTTTATATTGTATTCTTAATTATTTATATATGTTAAATAGGGGATCTCTTACACTAACTATATAAAATTATGGCTAAGATATCTGTATGGTTAGCCCTGCTCTATGCTTTAAGACGTTATAGTGGTAAATAAGGGAACCAGCCGCGGTTACAAGACCAAAAAATTAGATGGAGCAAAACACAGGGCTACATTAACGGAGAAACTTTTTTCAGTCTGCTACAAAGCAGGAGCTAGGGTAAAAGATCACTTTTCATCAGGGCAGTTATCTCAAGGTCAAAACATCTCTGAAACAACAAAGCAAAGCATGAATATCCTCCAGTGGCTCAGTCAAAGTCACAGTTTCAACCCTATTGAGAATCTGTGGTAGTTAGCACCACCCAACCAACTGAAACTACCTGGAGCAAGTCTGCCAAGAGGCATTAGCAAACGTGACTCCAGGACAATGTGCAAAGGTGGTGGATACTTAAAATACCTAGAGCTTTTATTAGAGCAAGAGGTGGCTAGACTGAATATTAATATGGGAAATATACATATGTTTGCAAGCAGCATTTTCCAGTTTTTATTTTTCAAATAGGGAGCTATAGTGCCCGGAAAACAACTTTTCTGTTTTTCTGGCACTATAGTTTCTTTAAATAATTAATTTAACAGAAAATCGATTTCCTTTCAAAACTTGATAAAAGGATAATTATATTAAAAAATTGTTTTGAGGTGACAGTTGTCCTTTAAGGGACCAGGCATGGAGCAGAGCTCAGCAGCAGCAACCTCACATTCACCATCCAATGGCCATGCATCTATTCCAGCTTATCAGGCTTTCACTGATCTGCAAGCTACATGGTCAAAGACATTCTATAGAACCCCACACAAGCAGACTGAGTGAAGAAAAGACTCAAGTGGAACGATAATTGGAGCAGAGGTGCAAAAGAAAGAGGAAATGGGAACAGAGATGGGTTGGACAGCGTAAGCGGAGACAGAGATACAAAGAATGTGAGAAATGGGGACAGAGACCATGGGCCAGACGAAGTAGACCTCAGAGACACAAGTGGAGTATAGATTACATCAGGGGTATGAGAAGTGGGGCTTAGTGACATAAAGGGTAAGGCAAATGGGGCCATAGACAAAGAGGTGCAAACCAGTCATCACATTTTGTTTTGCATATTTTTAGACTTTAGTAATGCTAGCTGCCCACGAAGAACTAGGTAGTTTTTTTTTTTATTTTGATGGAAAAAAATCTATTCCCTGAAACTGGTTGACAAGCGTGATGCTCCATAACCACTACTGATGCTTTGCTGGTCTTATCTCAGAAGTGATAATGAAAGTTCCTCCTCATTATGTATGTATTGCTGCAGGAACTTCTGGTTCTCCAGAGTTAGTATGTCTGTACAGCTATAAAATGGTTAATTGTTGTGCCTTTTGGGCAATTGGTAATATCTTTCAAGAAGGAATCTTAATGTATTGCATGTAATTCATGTAAAAATGTTCCAGGAAAAAATATGCTGGACATACCATTGTGTAGTTTATTCTCTGAAGCAAAAGGTTTCCCTCAACTATTAAAATATTTTACTATCTGAATGATACGGAAATAGTAATGCTCCAGTCTATTCGTGCTATGAAAGATGACCCTTTTTCATAATTTAATCCCTGAACATTTTTCTCAAAAGGCCTTTATTTACTAGTAATCCTAAAATAATTTCCAAGTCTCCCACGAGGCTGCTGCCATCTGTAAAACGCCATCTGACTTCATCCATAGACACAGCCATTACATCTGGATTTGAGAATGGCAGGCTGCCAGGACTTAATACACTGTTAATGCACCCAGCATATCATTTTCTGATCATTGCTCTTCCTATCCTTACAAGTACTTCTTTAGGCTAGAGTTTGCAAAACTCAACCGATATTTTTAATTCTGCTTCTGGGTGCATGCAGGAATTAGCAGGAGTCGACAGGGCAGCTGGGCCCCCTGGAGTGACTGTTGCGACCCCTGCGACCATGGTTGTTCTGCCACTGCCCACAACCATATTTACTACATCTGTACTTCTGCAACCGAATCCAGATTGTGCTATGTAGCAATGCAGGGCCACACTGAAAGCATCTGTTTAGAGCTCATAGCCAATGAAAGCAGTCCTGCACTGGCCATGCATTATTGAGAAATCTGGCCCCCCATGCAGACTGTGTGTAAAACAGTCTGACTACCTACTTACAGTAGGCACTCCTGGTACCATAACTACTATAGCAGGCTATAGAATTCTGCTTAGAATATTCCTTTCATGTGCCGTGTATATAAAAGTAAAATAGATCATATTACAGGAAATTGATTAAGTGTTTATTGCAGCGACCACATTATATGCAAGCAATAAGATTGCAAAATTTTATAAAATTACAAAATATAAAACATCTTTATTCATAGGACAATAATAAAACAGAATATTTAGAATACTATGTTACATTTTTTATAAAACAGTCTTACAATATGATAATTATATCAAGAGAGTAAAGGAACATGAAGCAATCTGAATAAACAAGTTTGATGTATTACACTCTACAGGTACATGCTTGGAAGTAGCATAAAATCTGTCTTAATGTTATAACGCTCTATATGCTTAGAAGTAGAATAAGAACTTTAATGTTGTATTTTTTTTTCTTTTACTCTTTTGTTTATTTATTTTTTAGATCATTATTTTTCTTAAATATTTCTAGATGAATGAATTCACACAATCACTTAAAGGGACCAAAACTACTACAGCTAAATATAGTGGTTCTGAGACATATAGCCTGCCTCTGCAGACTCAGCAGTGTAGATGTCACTCAGGCAGCCAGTAGAGGGGTTTCCTGGGTTTGGATCTGCAAAGATTGTAGGACCAACAGTTTGTGCTGAACACATACCGAAGAGATGCATTGAATCAATGCATCTCTCTGAGGAGATACTGTTTGGTGCAGCACGTCATTGTGATGTGCATGCACACTAGCCTCCCAATACTTCCTTATGCGTTAGAATTGGATTGACTGAGAATCAGACATGCACAACCTGCAAACCCCCAAAATGTTTTGAACTACATGCCCATGATTATTTGAATGAAACAGATAGCCAGTTACATAGTTACATAGTTACATAGCTGAAAAGTCCATCAAGTTCAGCCTACCTCACATTTGTTTTTTGCTGTTGATCCAAAAGAAGGCAAAAAAAACCAGTTTGAAGCACAATTTTGCAACAAGCTAGGAAAAACATCTGTATGGACTCTGATAAAACCACTTCTTCAGGCAGAGAATTCCACATCCTGATTGTTCTTACAGTAAAAAAACCTTTCCTTTGCCTTAGATGAAATCTTCTTTCTTCCAGTCTAAACGCATGGCCTTGTGTCCTATGTAAAGACCGGTTTGTGAATAGATTTCCACACAATGGTTTGTATTGGCACCGAATATATTTGTATAATGTTATCATATCCCTTCTCAGGCGACGTTTTTCTAAACTAAATAGGTTTAAATTTGTTAACCTTTCTTCATAGCTGATATGTTCCATTCCTTTTATTAATTTTGTAGCCCGCCTCTGCACTTTTTTCTAGTGCCATAATATCCTTCTTTAGAACAGGTGCCCAAAATTGCACAGCATATTCAATATGTGATTTTACCAGTGATTTATAAAGAGGCAAAATGATATTCTCGTCCCGAGAATGAATGCCCTTTTCATGCATGACAATACCTTACTGGCCTTGGCCACTGCTGATTGACATTGCACATTGTTGCATAGTTTGTTGTCTATAACAATTCCCAAGTCCTTTTCGTGTGTTGTTATCCCTAATTCGCTTCCATTAAGGGTATACGTTGCTTGTGTATTCTTTACGCCGAAGTGCATAACTTTGCATTTTTCAACAGTAAATTTCATCTGCCATTTGAGTGCCCAGTCCCCCAGTCTATCTAAATCCCTCTGCAGCAAAGTAATATCTTGCTCACATTGTATTATTTTACAGAGTTTTGTGTCATCTGCAAACACTGAAACATGACTTTCAATGCAGTCTTCAAGATCATTTATAAACATGTTAAATAGAAGGGGTCCCAGAACAGACCCCTGAGGGATACCACTTGCCACCTCTGTCCAGCTTGAAAATTTACCATTAATGACAACTCTTTGTACTCTGTTTTAAGCCAATGTTCTACCCAAGAACAAGCATTTTCATCTAGAACGATTTCCTTGAGTTTGAACACTAATCTATTGTGTGGAACTGTATCAAATGCCTTGGCAAAATCCAAATAGATCACATCCACGGCAACACCCTGATCTATACTTCTACTGATAGCCAGGGAATCATGGCAGTTGTAGTTCAAAACATTTAGGGGGATGCAGGCTGTGTAGGCCTGCCTGAGGTTATCAAGATTTAATTATCTCAGCCAGGAAGCTTGGGTGATAACACAGAGATTGGAGTGATGAGGCTGAAAGGTAAACAAATCTGTTTTTATTTCCCACTGTAAATAACACAGAATGCAGACCATTGTGCATAAAAAAATATCTATCTGTATTTATTACATCACATATACATATACATTACAAATAACATAATCAGTGACTCACTAGGCAAATAATACACAAAGATCAATATTTACCACATTCCACAAGCCTAAACGGGCAGAAACACGAATCAAACAAAAAACCCCAACGTTTCGGCTCCTCCTGGTAGCCTTTATCAAGGGTATCTATTTATTTCCCACTGTGACACAAGGGAGTGAGGGGGCAGTCATTGAAATAGTTAGTAGAACAATATAGTTTGCATTGCAAATGATAGAGGCACCCAGACCACTTCATCGCATTGAAGTGGTCTTGGTGCAGTGCCCCATCCCCTTTAAGGAACACTATAGTCACCAGACGAATTACAGCTTAATGTTTTTGCTCAGGTATCTACA